CGCGGGGGGCCCAGCTGCGCTGCGGTGGGGCGGGGAGCCGCTCCGGGAGCAGCAGTTACTGCTGCGCAGCTCCTGGAGGAGCGCAGGTAGTTGGAAGCTGAGAGCGAGCTGCTGTCCAGGAGCATCTCTGGGTCAGCCCCAGCCCCTGGAGAGCCGGCGAGGCGCAGCTCAGCTCCGGGGAATGCGAGGAGAAGCCGGGGCTCCCCTGGCTTCCTGTAAGATGCATTTCCTGCAGCAGCGAGAAGCAGAGCAGGGTCCTTAGAGCTTTCCCTTCCCTGTCAGGGGGCCTCTCTCTCTCTCTCTCTCTCTATATATATATATATATATGTATATTTATATGTTTTAAGCTTGATTTGATATATATTGCTAGTGGTTCAGCTGCTTGTTATGCTTCCTTCTAAAATGTTCTTGAAAGCCTGCCTTTCTTTACATCTTTAATTTTTGTGCCATCAAGCCTCTCTGATTCCAACCAAGTGATGCTGGAGATGGGTAGCAGGGTTGACTCGTCCAAAGAGCTTCACAGGTTATTGGAGGCATCGAATTGCTTCAGGATATGGAATATAAACAACTCCTATATTTTAATAATTTGCAAGTCTCCTACAGATCTCAGTTATTTAAAAATAGAGACTGAGTAAGCTGCTGAGAGGGAGAAGGCTCTAAATGTTCACACAGAAGCTAGTTGTAATGGCTTTTTCCTGCATGGAGATTCAAGTGGGGAGGTAGCAGGGATGTGCTGCACAGGTTGCTTACAGCAATGTTGGCTTTCTTCAGAAAGAGTGAATCAAAACAGTAAAGGCTAACTACCTGCTTGGCTTTACACTGGTGATCCACAACTGGACTTCTCATGCCCCAGTGAAAGAAGGCTGAAGCAGACTTTTAGTGGGCTTCTTGTGGTTATGTTTTAGGACCCTAATGATTGCTTTTGTTAAAAAAAAAAAAAAAGTTTATTTATTTATTTTTTTACAACCATACATGGCTGGTAACCAAATAGAGTTCTTCTGTGCCACCTGTCATTTGTCAAGTGCAGTTGTTGCCATGATATGTATCATAGACATGGTCTGTTTGTCTTGGGACTCGCCTGCGAGGCTGTTCCAAATGCGTGTGTGTGAGGGGTTAAAAATAATTTTAAAAAGAAATTTAAAAAATAAATCAAGCGGGAGATGATTTGTGATAGAGGAGGAAAGAAATGAAATATTTAAAAAGTCATGTAGAAGGATTGCCCCTCCTTCCCCCCCGCAAAAAAAAAAAAAAAATCAACTCCGTATTTCTTCTAGAAGCTGAAGGATTATAAACCAATGTTTTTTCCCCATAGAACTCATTACTGTAATTGGAGCATTTGATCCCTCTCCGCCACGAGGTTTCAGATGCACAGGAATTGCCTTGGGGCTGCGCCTGCTCCCCTCTGGCCCGGGGCGCAGGGACACGCGTGTGTCCCCTGGGGCACCCAGGAGGGCTGCTAAGTGGCAGCGTCCTCGCGGGACGGCCCGGCTGGCTCGGGCAGGAGCATCAGAGCTGCTAATTGCACTGGGGGCGACTGCTAATTGATGCAGGAGACTGAGACTCCCGGACTGCTTGTTCCTTCACTCAAACTTCTAAATTTACTTAGTGGTGCCGGTAACTAATCTGCGACCTCTATTGCTAATGCACCGGGGAGTGCTCCTGCAACCTGAGCATTTCAAAAGCAATGACTCATCTCTTCGGTGCTGCTGTGGATGCTGGAATCAATCTAAATATAACTTTTCTTTTTTCTGTGATAGTGAATGCATGATGCTTGTTTCTGTCTTTCTTTTATTGTCTTCATACAGTCGGCCTAATAATCTCCATATGGAAAGCAGATTAAGGGATTGCAACTTCTAATTGCTTTTGAAATGAATCACAATTGAGTGTCTAGACTCTTTTGGCAATTTTTGCATTTTTCGCTCTAATGATGAGGATTTATCTCTGGTAGATTAGGCTCATAGTCAGCTTAGAAACTAATAGTTTTGCTTTCATAAGGGCTTCAGAAACTTACTGTGAAGCTGTATTTTAGCCAAACTCTCCAGGGCCTCTGCTGAGACCTTCCTGATCCCTCTTCAGCTCTAATGGTTAGGAAGTTTTGCCTTGTATTTACACTGCCTTATTATTATTATTTATTATTATTATTTATTTCCCTATTGGGAGAGATGAAGAGAGAAGAGATTGGCTGCCCCTCCCCTGCCTTCTAAATTAAAAATCCTCCTCAAAAGTTTTTCCTCTTTTTTTCTGAAGCATTCAGACATACATATAAAATCTAATTTATTTGCCCGTTGCTTCTGGCGATGAGGTGGAAGGTGTCTTGGTGATGGGCTTGTCCCAAAAGTCAGCAGTGGCAAAAAGCTCCACGAAATGACCACTATTTGCCGGGAAGCTGGTGGTTGGAGACACGCAGAGTGACCCCAGGTATGGGCCCCGCCACCACTTTGTTCATTCTTTTGTTTATTTATATTATCTCAAATTTCTAGCAAAAGCAATTTTGTTTTGTTTTTATCTAGAGTTGTAGAATCTTTGCAATTAACCGATCGATACCCTTTGGTTAAATATAGAAGATTTCCCTAGAGCAAAGATTGGTCTGATCTCTTGAAAACCTGTTTTTCAAAGTGACTGCTATCCTTAATTAGTTTGAACAGATTTCTGATATGCAGTAAATGCGATCAAGCACTATGATCTCCCTTTTAGTATAAAAATTGAACCTAATTTCTTATGATTTGTTCTGACAAATCATTACTTGATTAAGAAATTGGTTTATAGGGCTGGAAATTGTAGTGTTGTAATTGCAATGCGCATTAGATATATGGCGTAATTTGTTAATGGTCTCTAAACTTTTCTTGCTTTCAGGACTGTGCACAGAAGTATGTTGTGAAGAACTATTTCTACTACTACTTGTTCAGGTTTTCGGCTGCTCTGGGTGAAGAGGTGTTTTATATCACTTTCCTTCCATTTACTTACTGGAACATAGATCACTCCGTGTCTAGAAGGATGATAGTCATTTGGTCTGTAAGTATTTCTGGGACTTGTTTAAATGTGTACTTTTGAATTCTGTAATTGTAGCAAATGAATATTTAAGGACAAGAATAACACACAGACAAACATAACCCCTTTGGATAACAAAAACAACAAAATAAGGTATTTCCATGCTGGCACTCAAAATAAGTAGATAACAAGGCACTAATTTTTTTTTTTTCCCTGGGAATGACTATATTGTTTTATCATTACTGTTGCTTATCACATCTTTGCTGCCCAAAAAAGAGCATTTTAGACCATCTCCAGCAGGCTGCAGACCCTTGAGGTTTGGTTGTCAATCCATATTGATTAGAGAAATTGAAATTTGGTGAAAACTTGGATGTGGTAGCTAGCTTTTTTTCTTTACAATGAAATGTCACCTTGACTGAGTTGATTCTGATTAATAATATTCTGTCTTTTGTCCAAATAGTAAGGTCAGAAATAATAAATGCAATTTGAATTGGGTTGCACACTTAAAATGAAGCCTGTCTTGGGTGGAAGGTATCAGTTGCTCCATGCCAATAACCCTAATCAATACGTTTTATCAAGAGAAGATGGAAAAATAACTTGCAGATGAAATCTAGAGGTAGGTGGACCCTGTATAATTAGAGCTGGGGTTTGGCCAGGAGAACACCTACTGCTTCTGAACATGGGCCAACGAAAATGAGAATTGCTAGTCACAGCCTCCTGTTGTCCCATATTGCTCAAAAAACGTCTCTTTAGAGCTACCCAGTGCCTTTCTGAAGCCTTGCTTTGCTTCATCTTGCAAGGCATCCGTCAGAGTGCTGGGCAGATCTAGCCTGACTTAATTAGAGTGTTCAAGCATTTGATATTACAATTATTGGTATTATTTTTTCCAGTTGCCCAAAGAGTTGTGGAGTTGCCTTTTGTACTGAAAAGTGAAAAAGGAGAAGATATTTTGAGCGTGAAGTCTTGTGACAATCTGTAGTTTTAAAAACATTTTAATTATATGTAATCGTGGAGTGACTAAAAATCTCTCATGGCTCTGCATTAATGTTATGGCAGGTGCAGCTGGATAGTTCAATTGCTGGCACAGCACCTTGGGACACTGATAAGGATTTATTGTGTTATCAGTGGTTGTGGTTGCCTGTCAGTAGACTACAGAAATGTCAGACACCAAAAGTGTGGCGTTTTGAGTGTTTTACCTTGATACATGGCCTGCGGAAAGCTCTTATCTAGCTGGAGAGGAGAGCTGGTATCCAAACTGTGAGGGCAAAGCAGAAGATGATCGTTGTTCCCTTTTAACACTGTCTGCGATGAAGAGAGAATATTAGGGAAGCTCTTCAGCAAGGCAACAGGAGTGATCTTTTAGTGCTTTTTGTGCAAAGATATTGATGTGTGGAGACGTGCTGATAAAACTTGATTGACCGACATGGGCACCAAACAGGAAAAGTGGATTTAAACTTGAACAGCAGAGAAAAAGAAGCGGTGTTAAGTGTGATATTTCTTATTTTGCATTATTTGGGAATTCAACCTATGGGTTTCTGTCATAACGATGTCAGAAATGATGGAATAGGGGCCAGGGGAGTTCCTTCCCATAAAAATTGAGAAAGCCTTAATGATGTTTACAAGGCATTTATGAGATCTTGTCTGTAATAGTTTGTGCGGCGCTGGTCGCCCACATTTGAGAAAGATGTATTTAAACTGGAGCAGGTCCAGGGGTGATGAGGAAAATGGCTCTTCCAGGAGCGGAGGCGGCGAGCCTAGATAAGGTCCTAACGAAATGAAGTCTGGGAGAGATTGATGCTGCCTGTGAATACCAGGGAAAGCAAGGAGCTTCTTAAAATAGCCCCAGGAAGGGATGGGCATAAAGCAGCCGTGAATAAGGTACGTTGGAGCAGGAGGTTTGGAGGCATCGGGATCAGCTCCTGGGCTGGCTTCAGAGGGAGCAGGACCACGGGAAGGATAATGTGTGCAGTGGAGAACGGGGCTGGAGGGCCGGGGAGGGCTTCTCCAACCTGTGTCCTCCAAACCAGCAGAGGATTCGCACCGTGTGCGTGGGCTGCACCTTTTCCCTTGGAGACGGGGGAAGGAGCTGCCGGAGGTCTTGAGGCAGCGCGGGATGGAGGTACCCGGTTCCTCCGTGTCCCGGCGCGGCTCCCGGCCAAAACCAGGAAGAGCAAAGGTGAAAACCAGCCCCAGAGAAACCAGCTCGCTAGTGCAGTTCAAGTTTATTGCACACTGGAGCTTAGAAGGTGAAGATTTAGCATGGTGGTTTGTTTGTCATTATGCTCCTTCTGAGCTAGGAGCTTTATTTGGATGGGGAATTTCAGATGTGAGGTTAGAGATCCTCAAGATAAAAAGAAAGCTCAATTTTCGGCTTGCCATTCAGCATCCTTCCTGGATTTTTTTTTTCCTGTTGTTTTTCTACAGGGTGTGTGAATGCAAAACATACACACGCCTCTTTTAAGCCTATAAATTTTTAATCTGTATGATATAAATAATAGCTGGCCAGCATGGACTTTGTCAGGGCAAGCTTGGAAGCTGCCAGTGAATCACAGAGATAAGCCGGTGACTAATGGGAATTGGCAGTGCAGAACCAAGGAGGAATTCCACAGCCTTGCAAAGGCTCTTGGTGATGGGTACTTGCGGGTGGCGAGCTCTGGATTTTGCAGGTATCTGGTGGGTTAATACCCAACAGGAGGTTATCTGTGTGCATGGTGCTGCCGACATACTGTGCATCCACTGAGCGCTTGGATGCTGCTTGGCAGCTGATTTGGGCTTGACTGTCTCGTACACGTGTCCTGAGCTTTATGCATTTGTGTGTCATTTTACTGGGACAATTTCCTAATGACTGATAAGAGTTTTCGCCCAAAATGCAAACTGTTCAAAGCACCATACATGATGGGCATGCTGCATATGAACAGTTAAGACTGTGTTCAGGTGTGTAAGCTATGCAAAATGTCAGGAAGCAAAAATAAATTCTGTATAGACCAGGGCCCGCATAGGCTTTTGACACTGTGTAGATAAGACATTTAAGTCAAATGCAGATGAAGTTTAGCTCTGTGTAGGTCAATGTGCAAGATGATAAACTTATTGAAGGTGAATTTTGTAAGCACTGGTAACAGCATGAGCAGAAACTGCAAATGAAACTTTCCTAACTGAGATACTGAGTTAGGATAAGCACTGTCTGAGGTCAGGTCAGGACTACAAATTTCAGTAACCTGGCTAGAGGTAACTTCAGGTGAAGTTTAAGTCGAAATTTTAGTGTTTCTCTGGAACTGCAAGGTACAGCTGCTTCCCGGTTCAGATGTTAGATAATAAATCAAATCGATGCCAAATCACATCCGTGCACTGACCCTCTCTGCAGGGCAGGCTGAATACTGAAGCTCTCTGCAATTTCAGAAAGGCCCTGACTTACTCTGCTTTTTATTTTTGCTTTTTTTCTTTCTCTCTTTTCCTTGTTTTCTTTACATGGAGCAGGGTATATCTTGTGAAGAAACCAAAGTCCCTCAAATGGCATCATTTTCAAACCTAAATTCCTTTTCTGAGAGGGAAATAAGTACTTGCTCCTTTCCAGGCTTGGCAATGCGTGAACTGCCACGGGTGACGTGTTACCCAGTCATGGTTTTAGCTGCTGCCCCCTGCTCACCTGCCCAAAGCCCTGCTTAGATGTGGGGGCTCCAGAGGCAGCTGCAGGCAGTGCTGGGGATGTCACCTGTGAAGCCACGCGCGCTGACAAGCCGAAAGCAGGAGTCGTGCTCAGGCTGGGAGGCTCTGCGTTCCCTAGGTGCCACTGTCTCGCCTCCGCTTGCTGTGTCTGTGATATATGTACTTTAAAAAAATAAATGGATCACAAATGAATTTGCGGTGAGCGAAGAGCAAGCACTGTGCGTGCCTGGTGCTGCCGCTTCCCTGCGCCCGGCGTGTTCTCAGCATCAGAGCAGCCCTTTCCAAAGATGTCTTATTCCCTTTCTGTAATGCTCTTACGTGGTAGTACTAGTAATTCTTTAACAAGTGGAAATTGTTATGGCAGAAGACTTCAGATAATGTAGCTTATTCTGCCTTGCTTCTGCAATGGCACCACCAGTGGTAGCCTCAACATTTCATCTTGCGTTAGAGAGTGCAGTTCTGCTTTCAATCCCCACACTTAATTAGCTTCCAAAGATATGCCTGCATTCGCTTGGAGGCTGGGAGCACAGTGTTTCCCGATCCCGCAGCAAAGCTGTGTGCTGCACTAGCAGGGCAGCCCTGAGCAGGAAAGTGTTGTAAGAAAAGGGCTGTAAGGGATGGAAGATGATTGAAACGTGGCCTTCCCGGTTGGGGTAGGAGCCATTGGCCTGTCTCAGCCCATCCATGAGCGCCGTGTCTCCTTGCTGAAACCTCCCTTTGGTACCAGATCCGGTTGAGTTACAGCATGGTGCTGCACAGCCACTGCTTCCTGGGATAACGGAAAGACCTTTAATAATTCAGGGCTAACCTCCCTTCCCGCAGTGGTGGATTTGGCAGCGCCGAGCCCCGAAGCGTCGAGGGCCGCGGGAGCCCCACGCTGACGGTGACGTCCTCTCCCGCAGGTAGTCATGTACATCGGCCAGGTGGCCAAGGACCTCCTGAAGTGGCCGCGGCCCCTCTCACCGCCCGTGGTGAAGCTGGAGACGAGGGCGGATGCGGAGTACGGGATGCCCTCCACCCACGCCATGGCTGCTACCGCCATCTCCTTCTCCTTCCTGAGTGCCACCACCAACCAGTACAAGGTAAGCGGATCAAAAAGAAAAAACCCCAAAATACAACATTTGGCTGTGTCCTTTAAACTGCAGAAAACATAAATCTGAGGCTGTGGCCATTTCTGGAGGAGCTTCTTGCATTTCCACAAGCAAGTGCTTTTCCCTGTAGCCATCCTTAGCTGGCAGATAGTATTCAGAAATACGTTTAGTGGATATGCCCTTCCTGGGGCACAAAACCAGCCCAGGGTGGGTGCTGGGCTATCACGTTGAGGCTTGGGAACTCACTGTGATTTTTTTTAATTTCATTTTACAACTCCTAACATGCGTTTCCTGTAGCCAGGCAGCGACGTCCTGGCTGCATCATACTGAGGTGTTTCTCCACCTTCTCTAGTGCGTTTCAGAGAGGAGCCCATGTGTCTGAGGGGGCCCTGGCCTGAAGCCCAGTGCCCATCAGTGTCTGGGCATCCTGGGTGTCCTGTTTGGGACACACTGGTGTCACAGCTGCGTGACACCACCCATTAAAAGTTGTGGGGCTGCAAGTAGTGGAGGTGGGCTCCAGTCTTCATTTAGAAGATGACATGTTGCTTTTATTTAGTCCTTGCTATAGGAAGTGAGAACCTTGATGCTGAGGCCTCTGGACCTTCATCTCAGTAGAGCAGACTGGCACTGTCACACTGCTTGGAAACTGCTGTGAAACAGTAGAGCCACTGTAAAATAATTAAGTGGTTTAATTGCTTCTATGGAGAAGGAAAAATCCACTGTGACATTATGCTGCTGTCTTGCAAAGCTGCCCCAGTAATCAATTACTGGCCTGGATGGGCTCCCAGTCCACCTGCCAAGGAGGCGCCGAAGCAGATGTACACACTCAGGAGGCTTGGAGAAGCGAGGAAAAACCAGCGCTTTATGAACCAGGAGTGACATCTGCGGACAGGGCCTGAGCTGTCTGTGTCAGGGGCTCGGATGTGCTAGAGGGGAAGGGTCACTAGTGAGTCGTGGTGCCTAAGGGAGCTGCAGAAGAGGTTTTGCCCTGACCTATAGCCGCTATGGTCATCTGCTCAGTCAGGAGACTCTCAGGAGTCTGTGTGTTAAACTGGGGGATTTTGTTGCGTTTTTCTGTATTTGGTATTATTTTTTAGGAAGAGTCCCTTACAGACTAAAATGCAATGCAGCAAGCTCATCTTCAGTGGAGCGCTAAAACAGGAAAACAGGATTCAAATGAGTGGATTAAGTGCCTTTTTTTTTTTTTTTAATTACTTGCTTCCATGTTACTGGGCAACACAGACAGGGAATTACATGAAAACAGGTTTGTAAGAATATTATTAATCTTTGAACATGGCAGCAAAGAGTGGTCCTGACTGCTCTAACAATTGGACCGTTCCTGCAGCCTAGACATGGATTTTTTCCCCTCCTGCCTTGCTTCCTGAGCAGCATTGATCAGGTTGGATCCGGGTATCCTATTTCCAACCCAGACAACCCGAAGCAGCAGTTAAACCTTGGTGGTCCCTCCTAGGATGTGCTCTGGCTTTCCCTCCTCCTTAAGGTCTTCCCTAGCTTTTGGGACGCTCTCTTCCAGCCGCGTGCTGATGTGGAAGTGGTGAATGTTGGTGACCCGTGTTTTCTCTTTCGGCAGTACCCCTTCGAGCTGGGGCTGACGGGCGCCTTGCTCTTCTCCACGCTGGTGTGCCTCAGCCGGCTCTACACGGGGATGCACACCGTGCTGGTAAGCGCCCTGCCAGCGCCGGGCACCGCGGGAGCCCCGAGTAGGCAGCGCCACTAAATCCGGGGCTGCGCCTTATGGGAGGAAGCCCCCAGGCTACCGCTATTGAGTGTGAAAGGGAATTACGTGTGCAATTAAGGAAGCCGTGAGGGTGGTGTGGCATGTGAACTGCACGCCCGTGTTTTGCAACGCTAATTGCAAGGAACGCGCTTGAGCAACTTGCCGTGGTGCTGCGTGGCCGCGCTCCGGGGCAGGAGCCCCCGTGCTGTCAGCGGGAGCCGCGGGGCCGGGGCTCCGTGAGTCACGGCGCTGCCAGCCCCGCCGAGGCCTGGCTGGGCACCGGGGTTCGCAGCACCGTGCGGGCACGCGAGAGCTCAAAAGGTTGTTACAACAGGCTTTGAGAAATACTGAACGGGCAGGAAACTCAAAGGGCTGTGGTGCACAAATACCGCACCCAAAACATACTCAAAGCTCTTCGTAGGATAAATAGTAGGCCAGGGTTGCTTGGAGAAAATGATGCCTGTCCTGCTTTAGGAGCAGATTTTGACATGGCCTTGCTTGCAGAGTGGCTCCCTGGTGAGAGGGCCTGTTATGGCTCTCCTGCGTGTGGTTATCGGAGGGTGATCCAGGTCCCCAGCTCCTGGCTGGTACGTGCTGCGTGCCGCTCGCGTAGGAAAGAGTATTACATCTTTTATTGAGTAATAGCCATGCTTGCTCTAATAAGGAGACTTGATGGAGTCAAAGAGAGCCCTTATGAGATTAGGGTTTTCTATAAAATATGGCCTGCCCTTCCTTTTAGCCCTATTGGATCTAAGCAATATCTTAAATCTAAGCTGGAGACATCCTTTCTTAACTGGTGACCCTGAGTCAACCAGTAAAAATTCTTAGCATACTTCCCTTGCTGTTTCACGATAATGAAAGACGCCTCTAAATTTAGATGGATTTTAGGGTAAAGAAGAAGTCATCCTTTGTGCCTTTGGCATCATTAAAAAAAAAAAAGGCTTTAAAACAAAAAAAAGCTCCTCAGTTCAACTGTGCAAAGTCTTGCCCATCGACAGGGCTTTGCTAGGCTCCTCTGGAGCACAGAAAAACAGTAAGATGTTTCTGTTCAGAAGAGCACAGCCCTGCTTCTAAATGAAACCATGAAGGGAATTCAGGCATTAAGTGACTGCATACAAGACAGAGCAGGAAAAGTCTTATTATGGCTTTGGTTGGAAATACCAAGAAATATCTGGGAATGCCACCATAGTTGGGAAGCCATTTGATGCTCCAGGGGTCTTCTATCAGTGCTTGCAATTCCAGCCTTCAGCCTGAGTTTAGTTGTAATGAAAAGAGGATAAAATGGTCTTGCCTTCAAAAAGCCAAACCACATGGTTTTGCAATCTTTAAAAAATAAAAAAGAAAATCTGTTGTAAAATCTTGTACCAGAAGTTCAACACCAGAAACACACCAATAGTGCTGCTGCCAGCTTTGTACCACGCAAGGACATACCCAATTTTTCTGGGAAAAATCCCAAAAGTAGCTTTTGCTGAACCACTGCTACTGCCCTGTGCACATGCACAAGTCAGCAGTATTTTAAATTGCTCAAATCCTGTATCTAATGTATCACATGCAACTATGTTTTTATGTCAGTTGTTTTTCTTTGCATACTTTCCTGTAGTACAGGAAAGCAGCTAAAACTTGCAGCACCAGAAACCCGATACGGGGTCATTCTTCAGGTAGCAAAGCCGAATTCCTCCTTTCGGGTTAAAGAGTGTGGAAACGGGGCCTCTCTTGCTCGCAGGGCTGCAGCAAGCAGCCTGCGCAGGCCGGGCGCCGCGGCCGATGGGCTGGGAGCCCCGGCACGGGCCCACGCGGCGCTGGGGACGTGGAGCGACCGGAGCGCCCGAGCGCGGCTGCCCGCTGTGCCGAGCAGCCTCGCACCTTGGGCGGAAGCCCTTCCCTCCCTCCTTAGGAAATCCCTGCGTAATTGTGGGCTTGACGAGTCGCTCGTCTGTTTACACAGGCAAACGGGGGAAGAATTTGCTGCTTGGGAATATTCACCGTCTCCAGGATGGGGGCGGAAAAAAAATCAAGATCCCTCTTCTAAAAATCTTGTGCAAGGATTTCAGAAAAGTGTTTTTTCCTCTCAAAAATCAAGCAGTGCTTCGTTTTCTGATAATGTGCTTAGAAAGTTTAATAGAGAAGGAGGAGAAATAATTAATCCTACACTGCTAAATATCTTCTTAAAGCTCTTTAGCTCCCCAACCTTTCCTGGATTTTAGTGGAAATTTGTATTAGAAATATGTATAATGCGAATGTGAAAAAGTGAATCTATTGCCTGGAAGCTGTAAGCACCTGAAGTTCAAGCATATTTGAGTAATGCATTCGCTAGGAAGTCATGAAATATTTTTATTGTGAAGAAAAGTCCTCCCATAAGAGAGGTCTCATAAATAATTCATTTTAGACTGTGACCAAGCATAGAAATAGTCAACTGTCATGACTTCATAAAAAAGATACAATCTTGAGAATGGGACATTTTTGTATGTGATTAACTCTAGCTTTTGCAATCAATTTCATGGTAAGAAAGAAATTCTGCTGGTCCTGATATCTAGAGAGGAGCACAGCGAAACTTCCAACGTTGCTTTTAATGTGACTGCTGCCGCTGACACGCAGGATACTTTTGTTACGGGTTGGCTTTCACCTTCTTTCCTTTCCCAGCAGTGTTGTTGACAACAGTCAAGTTCTCAAAACAGCTTGTTTGCCTCTGTTAATAAATGAGGTTTTAACTACACACTTGCTTCAGGCACTGAGACACAAGCCGGATCTCAGAGGCTTGGGCGATGGATTTCTTGCTGATTTTTTCTTGCCCAGCAGTGCTGTCTCTTGCTGTGGGAGGTCAGATCTGCGCACTGTGTCCCACAGCTCTGTGCTCTTTTTCCCTGGAGGTTGTGTTCCTGGACTGGGGTTTCCTTTGGGAAAAGAGCATCCTTTGCTTACGCAAGTGAAACATGTGATGATCCTATTGATACAAGGGCATTACTGGAAATTATGGGAGGGAGTGGGTTTCTATTACCTTAACAACCCCCAAGAGATCAAGTCACGCAAAAGTCTTTTCCGTTGGAGTTCTGTATGGACGGAGGATTTTGGTTTGACAGAGGTCTAAAAAGCCTCTCAAAACCGCTCTCTTCGCAGGACGTGCTCGGCGGGGCGCTGATTTCGGCCGTGCTGCTGGTGCTCGTGTGCCCGGCGTGGGACTCCATCGACCACGTGCTGCTGACGAGCCCGCTCTGCCCGCTGCTCTCCATAGCCGTGCCGCTGCTCCTGTGCTACAACTACCCCAAGCTCGACTCCTACAGCCCCACGCGGGCGGACACCACCACCATCCTAGGAGCGGGCGCTGGAGCGACTGTGGGGTTTTGGTTGAACAACCAGTACGTGGCGGCAGCTCACAGCAGCCGCAGCTTTCGGCCGGGCTTTCCCCTGCTCTCGGGTCCCATGCTCGTGGTTATGCTGGCCAGGTTCCTCGTGGGCATCGGCATTATCCTCGTGACGCGGCAGCTCATGAAGAACGTGGTCCTGGGCGTGCTGCGCTACCGCTACAAGTTCCCCGTGGGTGATCTGGAAGCCAGAAGACGCCTGGAGGTTGAGGTGCCCTATAAATTTATAACGTACTCTTCAGTTGGCTTCAGCGCGACTGTGATTGTGCCGGTGCTGCACCAGGTGCTAGGTCTGATCTGAGCCCCGTTCCTTACAGACACAGCTCACGGCACCGCTGTTCTGGAGATGCAATAAGTCATTCCAGGCTGGTAACTTGACTGAGAAACATTTTGTGCCTTTCTGCACTGGCCTAAAACACCACGCTGTGAGGATTCACGGGGGCAGCTGTATGCGGGTAACCTGGGGTTAGGAACGGCCAGTTCGGCTGCCTGTCTTCGTCGGAGGCCGGTGGCCCAGATGAGGAGATGTGACAAGCACGGGGCACAGGGCCGAGCTCGCAGACAGGACGCCGTGCTGGGGAGGGCAGCACGGCGCACCGCGGAGCTGCTCGTCACTGTCCGTGTCGCTTGTCATATCGTCCTTAACGTCCATGTCGGTGTGTGTGGTTTTACCCATCGCACTCGTAGTTTATTTAAGAGAAGAAAGAAAAACCCAACCCAAAGCAGCTGAGTGATTGATAACAGGTTTACCCAGGGTGCTGATGAGAAGCATCTGCACCTCTGGCAGACCCTTTTCCATGCACAGCTCGGCAGTTGTCACCGCAGCTCCAAGGGGAGCGGAGGGTCTGCGCTGGGAACCACGCTGCGGGACATGTCCAGCGACCATCGTTGTGCCTCAGGTGGCTGAGGGTAAAACACCACGATTTCCTGGGGCTCCGCAGCATTGCAAGGGGGCTTCCATGCCATCCCATGTATGGACTTGTAGCGCAGGAGCTCAGGACTGTTCACAGGAGCGTCACCGCCGTCGCTTTCAGGCTGCTTATTCCAAACCTCTATCTGCGTTGGACCCATGAGCTGCTGACAAAGAGCAGTGGTGACTGTGGTCTGCGTGGCTGGGAGAAGCCAGCACAGTTCTGTGGTGGCTGTGGAGCTTTGAGCACAGTCTGTGTGCCTTTTCCTGACAGAACCGGCAGGAAAAGCGGCATTTTAAGCACGTAGGTTTGTGTTCTTGAGCTGTGAAAGAAAAAAAAAATCAAGAATAAAAGGGAGGGTGTTAAATTTTACCCACTATTGGTATAAGCTAAAAGAAACTCAGAAGAGTGCACACCAAGCTGTGCCCGCGTCGCTGTGGCCACGCACCTGCGAGAGCAGCGCGCTTTTAAAGCGAGCTTCGTAATCCCCGTGCGAAATGCGAGCAGAAACGCCAGCAACTGCTGGATTTGCATGGGCTGGGGTCAAACTGTTTCGCGTTAGGACGTGTCTTTGTGCGCGAGGGCGAGCAGCTTGAGCGCGCCGCGGAGCAGGACCCCAGGCCGGCGGCGGTGCAGACGCCATGCGCAGCGTGGCCGGCCACGCGCTCTTACCTATACCTTCCTGCTCTTGATCACTGCTGTTTTCTGCTATGGAAAACTTAGGAATTCTACAGTGCTTGGGTGGGCTGAAGTATGTGCACAGATATTTTTATCTCTTACTGTGTTCACCTGCCTGTGATCTCTGCTGTACGTGCAAACCGTCCTTGGTCCAGATTTTAAAATACAGATGTTTTCCAAGATATGGTGAGTTTCTTTGTTCGTGTTGTGGCCCCCTGTGCATGATGAAGCAGGGGGAAGTGACTTACAGTTCAGAAACTGCCGCAAAGGACCGAGCTGCTGGTTTGGGCTGGTGCTGGCTGGCGTGGCCTCCATGGCTGCGGTGGCTCCATGCGCGGGGTGGATTCCTCTCGCCGCTGCCCCGCTCCGTCCTGGAGCGCCTGCCGTTTGCAGAGCCCGGCCGTGTTGTGTGATGTCCCCGGTGTCACCTGCCCGTCCTGCGCGCCGGGTACCTTTCAAGGTCGCCGGGCGGGCAGAGGTGTCACATGAAGCTGGTGCCGGCCGCACCGTCTGAAGCCGGGAGCATCGCGTGGGGCAGCTCAGTCTTTGCTCAGCCTATTCCATGTTCACCTGCCCAACCGAGAGCGATTTGAATTGCAAGTAAAGGTGTAACCAACCCAGAGGCAGAGTCCGGCCTAAGTGTTATCCTTCTGTATTTACATGAGAGCAATTTTCAAGCACAGGATAAAATCATGGTGGGGAGCTGGAGGTCAGACGGTCTCACTCTTTCTACTGTTTAATGCTGCACCTTTTTTCCAAAAGTATTTTTGAATCCGCACTAAAGAGCAGCAAGCATAACCCAAAAATCAGCACCTGTAGCCAGCTGAAACAAAACAATTTCCAGCATGGCCCGGATAGCACCCAAGTACTGACTTCAGTCTCCTAGATTTCTGTAGCATGAAGCTTCGTGTGAGGCGCCTTGATTATTGAATACCACTATGTGCGAACTGTAAATATCACATAATTGATATCGGGCCAAGAAAGGCAAAGTCCTGCGATAAATATGCTGTAGTTGTATGAAGTTTCCCTCTTGCCAAGATTCCCAGATAATCCTGAGCTCAGCACCGTGGCAAAGGTTGAATTTCAGTGCTATGGAAGCCTTGCAGGTGCTGGTGACGTTGCATGTGGTTCTGCAGGGGTTCGGCAGTGCTGAGAGAGCCATTTAACCTTCCCAATGACTCTGCTCTTCTGCTTTAAACAAGGAATGGGACTTCCAAGGACCGGAGCTAACATCCTCCTTGTGGAGTCCTTGGATTACTGATGCAAAAGCAAATGGGACGGAAAAGGGGAATGCCTGATCCGAGAAGCCTGGCACCACACACCACTGCTGCTCAGGCTCCTACTTCCAATCTAATCTGGTCTTTACACTCAAAAAGGCAGCAAACTCACAGGAGAATTGGGACACCCAGAGAGTCAGGACACCTTGTGCAGAGAAATGTATTTAGTGCATGCAAATATGCCTGTACTCTGCTGAAATGCAAATCTGCCTTATTGTCGTCCTAATCCCCATGCATGACACACTAATAAACAGGGTTTTTTAATACTTACCATCTGTGTTACAGACTGCTTCCCACACTGGGAGCTTGCTTGGTTACAGTTCTGTAGGCATCATGGAGAGATATATCCTGCAAATGACAAGCCGGATAATCCCCTGGGAGGCTGTAAAATGTGAGTTGCAGTTTTCTCACTCGCTCTATGCGCTTGAGTCGGTTGTACTGCGTAAGGCTCTATCTGTCTTCTCATTTCATGTCTGTCACACACAGACAACTAAAATCCACACATCCATCAGAAGGAACTGTGAGGTTCCCAGCTGAGTAACTCTAGTGCCTTTTCCAGAATAGATTAGTGCTTGCACTGAAAAGCTCTGCCCGCTGCCTTCCCACCTGTTAGGAGAAATGTTGGATCCGCCACTTAAAAGCCATAGTGGGTCCAGAAGCGGGGCCTGGGCAGACATGCAGCTCTTAAAACCAGTGATCTGATCTTATTGTCCCTGTATAACCCACTTCGCCACAATCACCCCTTGCAGATGGGTCTAACCTTGGGCTGTCCTCTTGTGGATTCCCAAGGCTCTGGCTCCCACAAGGGAAATGAGCCACAGTGTGTTGGCCTGATGTAAAATATTTACTAGTGCCAGCATGCAACATTAGGAATGGGTATAAAATTGCTAACTTCGTTAGAAAGCCAGCAAGGAGCTAGCTTAAAAGCACTGGGTTGGCCACCCAGGCAGTTACGCGGCACCGGAATGGATGGATGGAGATTGCGGTGCCTGGATGAGGGGTCTTCGTTTCCGAGCTAGCAGCAGCACCACAGAGCAGACCCTGGCTGGTGTAACTCATCAAAAGTCCACGCAGAGGAAAATCCTCATCTGTGAGAGTCCAAGAGAGGCAAAACTCTGCTGTGCTGCTATGCAAGTGCAGCAGGGAACAGGCCAACTTCTGCAGAAAAAACATCCCAGCCTCACTCACGCCAAAGTTTTCTTATTTTTCAGCGCCTCCTGCAAAAGACCACTGGCACATGCTCTTAAATGCATTTCCCCAATTTGGTTTGAAGCTTCAAAACCACTAGACTTACCTCAAGTATGAAAAAAATTAATTCCCCCCAAGCCCCTCCCTGTCTGAATTTTGAATGATTAAGGATCAACAGTTATGTCTGGAGTAGGGAAGCAGATATTACACACATCTTGCTTACAAAATAGCTCTGGTTTTCATGAAACAAGTTTATTTTCCTCCCCCAGCCAATGATGAGCACATGACAACCGTACAGAATAAAAGCTCAGCTCCTTAGTTCTGCTCACATTCGCTCAACATTTGCTCTAATCAATTATCTTATTTCATGCAATAAGAAAAGAATGAGATTCCTGTTATGCAGCCATAATCGGTTACAGTATGAAGCTGTGTCTGTGGAACATTTCTGATTTTGAAAACTAATCATGTGCTCTGCCATTACATTTCTTGTAAAACACTGGGCTTTTACCCAACTTGTTTCTTTTGTCCCCTGCCCCGCGCCTTTAAAAACACTGACTAGTGCAGTCTAGTCCCAGATACCACATGCTCATGTTGCAGAAGCAAGCCTAACTGCAGAGTAAGGAACATATTTACCCAAGGAGCCAGGCTGTGTTTTTCTAGTTTATTAAAACATAAAAGCCCAAGCAGAGGTTCCCTGCAGAGAAAGACAGAAGAGCTGAGGGTGCTGCATGCGACAGTGGTCAAGGGTAGGGCGATAAAAACCCTGCCTTCACACGAAAGGTTCAATAGTGATCTCCAGGGCAGAGCACGGCATGGTGAGCTCAAATTTGGTGATAACATCAGGGTGTAGGACTCCAAGTTTCCCAATGCTCTGACCTTTGGCAATGACCTCAGCACAGCGACCAGGAAAGAAAGCAGAGCCTGTAAAGAAAGTGAGAGAAAAATCAATATTTCTCCAGGCCAAAGAAGTCAATAGGCATTTAACATGGAGAACAAAGCTGTCAGTATTAAACAGTTCTCTTTGCTAAGACGCTAAGAATGGGCTCCCACTTTCTTGCATTAACAGTTGTCATGATTGATGGCGAACGAGGAAACACTTTGAGCTAAAAATAAAATGTGAAGCCCGGAGCACGGGCATTTTTCACACTCCAGTTGTTCTGTCAAAGGGTCTCTTGTAATAGAAAGTAGCAGAGATCAGTAAAGTCAGAGGGATACTGAAATTAAGAACTTTGCAGCCTTTGGGTACTTCAACACCTGAGTGTTTGCCACCTTTCTGTTTGGGGAAATAAAGCATCCTGTGATCCGAGTGCTAGGCAGGAATGTCATGCTTGACTGCATGTCCCATAATTAGAAACTTAACCTACATTCCTCATCCGCAGAAGAGCTTTTAAACAGTTTCATATATACTGTAAAACTGAAACAACGCACGACCCAGAGAAACCCCCACATCCTCTTACTTCAAACCTAGATGCCAGTTTTAAAATATTATTTTAAATATTATTAACAAAAAAAAATCCAACAGCAACAAAAAAAAGAATTGACCAGGGAAGACTCAGAGGAACCATGGGGACTCTTTCACTGAGAGCCTTTCCTGTCTGTGAACCCCGCTGCCTGCGTGCAGGTTAAACCAGCAACGTGTTCCAGCTTGCCTATAGCAGCCACAGTGCATTTTTTTTGTTTCTGTTCTCATGAGTGACATTTTTCTCTGCCAGCCCTTCAAAAGATAAAACAAACCCCAGGCCCAGAAGCAGCAACCTCCCTCTTCCGAGCCCGCCTCCTTGGAGCTCGTGTGTCCACCTGGGATCGGAGCCGGGCAAGGGCGGCCCAGGCTGCCCTTCCTGCCAGGCTCTGTGCAGCCACATGGCTTTCCTCTCCTTACAATCATGTTGCTTGAGAAACACGTTCCTCCAGCCTCTCTAATGATGTGCACAGCACAAACATCTCTGTAATGGCACAGAGGCTACAAGGGATACTCCCGTGTACTGCTCCTCTTCATCCCAGCAGCTCTAGGCAGATACTATTTTACTCTAGCTCAATCTTACTAAGATTTAGGATGTTTCGAATGCCTTTTCCTAGAAGAAAATCATGGCATACATATGTTCTCTGGCCAGGGATCACCTCATGGGAAAAACAACCCCTCCCTTCTCTTTTTTCGGTCCGTTCCAGCATGATTAGAGTACTGTGATGCTCCCGCAGAAATTGCATTAAACTGGAAGGAATGGGGTAAGCTTCTGCGGTCTAAGATGAAATGTGAAGCTTGTATTTTTTCTTTGCTTCCTTCAATTATTTTCATCCTGGAAATGAGAGGAGGCCTGGATGCCATCGAATTAAGGCGCCCTGCTTGGGACCTCTGGCTAGCGGTGCTGCAGGGACTGCTGTGAACCGTCCCCTCAAGGGACAGGATTAAAGGAGGACTCTGGATCCTACAGATGCTCCTGCATCCCCAAAGCTGCCCTAGCTGTGTATTTTATGGGTCTGCCCTTGCACAGAGGGAGGATTCTTTACGATATTACCACTCAAAAGTCTGACTAGGAGGGACAGTATCAGAGGTGAGTCAACACCCCTTCCTTTACCCCCTTTCATCATTTCCTAATATCCTAAAATCTGACAGAGCATTTTCTGCAGAAAGAGTGAGTTACTGGGTGTGAATCAAGTTGCACCGGTGCAGATAAGAAACGCCCTGCGCTCTGTTTCTGCAACAGGATGAGGACAACCATGCGCTGGGAGCTGCTTCAACGATTCAGCCTTTGGCATTAGTGAATGATCAAAGTAACATCGCAGATGTTTTAAAAGATCTTTTGAACTGGTATCTTTTTAGATCATCTGGTCCAAATCTTAGCTATGAGTGCCAACCAACTACTTACATCGGACATTCAAAAATAAAACGATCTAGACACTGAAATTTTGCTAACATATGAGTCTAGCCAAGCAGCAGTATTCAAAATAAGCATTAAAATAAAACTTGACAAAACAAATTTAGAAAAGGAGTGAGTGCCGCACATACAGATCGCACTGCAGATTATTGCTGAAAACATAACCTAAAAATAAAGTGCCCTTGTAGTTAGTGGTTAAAGTTTTCCTATCTGCGAATAAAGCTTGTATTGTACCATTCATGTGAGCAGGATGCAGTGACATTCTTTCAGAAGCTTGAAAGTAAACTTAAACTGGAACAAGAGCAAGAAGCAAGCAAACGTTAATGTTGTCATGGAAGCCCACCATAAAATTATAGGGAAAAAGAAAAAAAGGGCTTTAACAACATGGTCAGTGAGAAAACTGAGTCTGAATTGTCTGTTCTTCTGAGCTGCTTCGTGTGTAACCCGGGGAAAGCTAATTTATCCTCTTGCACATCCAGTTCCAAATACATCATAGCTTAACCGTTTTTAGCCTGATTTTAGACCTCTCGATGAGGGTCTAGAATAATTCTCCATGGAGTCACTCTGTTGCAAAAGCAGTTCTTATCCCTGTATCCTTACAACAAGTTTGAACTGCAGTGCTCAGCGAGTTAACAGGGAGCCCTGAGGTGCTCGCGGAGGCCGGATGAGGTTACCAGGGACAACCTTCAGCAGCACCAACCTGCTGCTCCCAGAGCAAGGGCTGGTTCCGGGCAGTCACGACCGTGAGGAAGAGCTGCTGCACATCCGACAGCTCCCAGCTGCACCTCACAACAGCAGCCTTGCTGAAGTAATCGGTGTCTGCAGCGATTACCGGGCTTGCTGGCAGGGAGTGCAGGCTCCAAGGTTAGTCACCCAGCAGCCAAACCTGTCTATTTATTTTGGTTCTAAAACGGTGGGCTCCAAGGAGATAAAAATGACGCAATGACTCCAGGTGCTACAGATGCTGGCAATTCAACACGTTACACTGGAAGCCATGAACGTGCTATGTGATAACACTATCAGGTGAAATGCTAATTTAACTGGAACCTGAACACTGACAGAAACTGATCCCATCGGAACATGGACAGAGCAGGGAATATGGTAGAGCTTCATAATTTTGTTGGCTTCCCACCAACACAAGGTGGTGACAGGCTCTGCACTCCCTGCTGGCCTGTCCTGCTGTGCCGCTGCAGCCAGGTGACCTGCATCACCTTGCGATGAGGTGACTGCTCCCAAGCTGCACCACCTCGTGATGAGGTGACTGCTCCCAAACACCCGAGCGCTCCTCGGGGCCCTCACTTTGTGCAGGGCCGCCTCTGAGCCCTCTCTTTGTGCACAGTTACTTTCCTGCCCTTTCTGCGTGCCGAGGTGGCCTGGGGCATGCACAGATCGGGGCCAGCGCAGGGTAGTGACCACAGAGTGTGGCTGGGAGAGGCCAGGAGAGTGGCCCTCCAGGCCATGCACCAGGTACTCAGCCATGTTCTCCGGTTCAGATGCAGCAATCCATGCTGCAGAAGGACCCTGATGTCATTTATCTTACTTTGAGAGTCCTTGCAGAGTGGATATGCAAAGATATCATTAATTTCAAAGCGGAACACATAGCTCCACCACGTGCAGGAAACAGGACTCCCAAATCACCTTTTTGCGTTAGTTACCCTATCCTGAACTGTCTGAGTTTCGCAGTGCAATCGCTCGTCTGCGAGGCGCTTTGCAGTCATGGCACTTGCACGGTATTGCTCTGTGACTGGAAGAAATCAGACAATAAGCAAATAGAAAAGAAAGAACCTGTTAAAAGCTTTGGCATCCTCGCCTGTTTGGCTAACGCCTGGTTCTTGCACCAAAGGAATGTAAGCTGAGGAATGGCCTCACAGATAATTAATGAAGAGTGGTTAATAACGAAACTGTTACTAGAATAACTGCAGCACTAGGGAATGCTGCTGGGTTTATCCATGTCGAAACGGCCTCCAGACCACAGCCAGTGCACCTGGGGCTCCCACTCTCAGTAACTCTCCCTTTGACCAAGCACGTGGCAAGTGAAGGAGACCGTCCTTAGCCTCAAATGCTAGTCCACGTATCTCTGCAAAGGCACCAGGATTTGGAGTAAAGGAAATTTTCAGATAAAACCCGCACATATTGCAAGGAAACCACTTAAAGAAACAGAACTCAGGCAGAGGGAAGGCCATCAAGCAGAAAGAGGAAAGAAGAGGTGCAAGTTTTCCGTGGCACGGGGGAGCGCTTTGCCTGAGGGACCAAGGAGGGGTAGAAAAGGGGAAGAGAGGGGGAAGATCTTTGCTGGCTCCAGGGAATGCAGGGTGGGAGTTAGAGGGGAGCCTGGATGGCCCCCCAGGACAGCTCTGCAAACCAGCAACTGCATCAAAATAACCACGAAATGAAGGTAAGGAAGCGTGTTCCTGCTCGGGGAGTTTCTTGCATTATCAAGCAAATAGCAATGATGTTTATGCTTCTGGCAGAGTGGTGCAGGGTGCTGGGGACTGGGCTATGCTGGGACCTCTGGCACTGAAGTATAAAGCCTTGGAATGAGATCCAAGGTGCCATGAATCATGTATGGTAATGAATACATTACTGGTGTGTATGGGCAGCCAGGAAAAAATGCATGGGCTGGTCTCCTGTTTGAATAAACTGCACTCTAAGCTGAAGCACAGCACTCCTAACTTTATGATACTACCAATTCCAAAGTATTGCTTCACTTTAATCATGTTAAACACACTCATCATGCTTTTCATATAGTTAATGCACACAAACCTATTTTGCTAGGATAGCCTCAAAAGATGAGGTCTGAATAGTACTTCTGTAAACTTCACCTTGAAATCCAGTCGGAGATCATATAGTCCCTGCTGACAGTCCTATACAATGTCAGAGGAAGCCAGATGGTTTGGTGGTGGAAATCCACCTTTCAGGATCATAATTGGTAGTTACAAAAGGGGCAGGGTGAAACACAATATACATTCCTGGAGAAGGGATTCCAAAGCCAGTCGTGTCTTGGGCTGACACACAAGCAAGAGACAAAAGCCACTTTTCGTAGCTGCA